GAATCTGGTAGTTGCGTTGTTTCACTAGGGAAAATTAAAGTTACTATTATAAGTAGGTGGCACTTACCTATTTTTACGTCGGAAAATTAAAGTATCTTCTAGCCGTAACTGCCACTATAAATGTTTTACTTTGGAAAAGTTTGTTTTATGTCTATAAGCAAGTGCCAGTAACGGATGAAACTATCTGCATGGCAGATGATACCTTGAAATGTCCATGCCCTTGAAAAGGGTTCCATTTAGTACCCAGTCGTATCCAATGTTCCACAAGATCGAACTCAAAAAAGACCCATGTGGATCTTCGGACTCGATGCCATGCTGTCAAACCTAGCCGGCACTATTGACAAAGAGAATTAAGCGGTTCTACAGGTACTCTTCAGTCAAAAGACCCCTTAGATAAGGAGGAATCTTAAGGTATTGAAGTGCCTCCAATATGCAACTATCTGGGAAACGAGGCGGGATGCTGTTATGTCTCGTCGAGCAGGACTATGGGCCTAGAGTGAGAGTTACGTTTAGTAGTAGCTGAACTTTGTTCCCGTGTACAATTACTTATGTGGCAGTTAATAATTTAAACAAACATATTACTCCAACGTAAAAATCAGCAAGTACCGCTTACGTCATTTGCAATTAGAAACTTTCCGTTGTATAAGTGAGTAAATGACAAATAATACACTAATTGTGATTATTTTTTGATAATTCTTCATGTTTTATAAAATATACCTCATATAAAACTATTATACCAAATTTCATCAATGTACGATAAATAGAACGCGAGCTACACATGTTTAAACCTTCAAACCGCTCTCCTGTAAAATTGGCCGTTTTCAGATACGTTAATATACGTAGGGACCGTCGATATGTAATGAGGTACGTATGTAGCATTCATGACTCATACGCATTCATTATGGAAAACCTTGGGAGAGGCCTTTGTCCAGCAGTGGACGTCATTTGGCTGAAACGAACGAACGCATTCTGAGCAGTAGTCATGGTAGGTTAGGTTCCTATCTTAGATTAATTATTGGCTTTATTAATCTAAGGTTCCTATACTATCCTAAGAATTATTGATTACCTACATGGATAACATACCTTTCAGCATCTCTGGGAAGCGAAAAAAAAGATAAATCCGGTAGATTTCTTTTCGAATTTAAACACCCGACCGCCGCACAATATTTCTTTCTCTTTATGTCCATTTTTAAATAATACTTCGATCATAGAAGTAGGTACGTACTACAACGCACGCCAGCGTCTTGACGGGCGCGCGCGTGACACTCGACTGCCGGCGCACTATGGATCGAAATCGCGATTTATGGACATAGCTATTTTTTTCACAATTTGTATTTGAAAAAAATACCTATCGATAGGTTACGTTATTCTGATGAATAAATGCTGCACAAGTTTTTCTCTAAAACCAATAGTTTGGCTGGAAAAAAATATTTTCCATTTTTGTTGTATGGAATGAAACATAAAGTGGTCGATTACGACGAAGCCTTGACAGATCTTGCTTTGAAACTACTTGAGCCTTGTTCTATGGGTTGTTGACTATAATCCTACGCCATCAGCGCGCGCCCAAAGTTGCCCGTTCATAAGTTATGAGGTTCTGAAAAATTAAAAAAAAGTAAGTAAAAGTGACTTTTTTTTTAATATCTTTAAAGGTTTAACGAAAATATAAAGATTCTATACGTAAATATTGTAAATTAACCTTAAACTACTGCTAAAAACGCATTTTAACAAATTTAAAAGGAATAAAATCAGCGATTTTTTTTTCACAATTTCTGTTTAAAAAAAAACCTATCGATAGGGTATGTTATTCTGATGAATAATTAAACATTTATCTCTAAAACCAATAGTTTGGCTGGAAAAAAATATTTTCCATTTTCGTTGTATGGAATGAAACATAAAGTGGTCGATTTCGACTAAGCCTTGACAGATTTTGCTTTGAAACTACTTGAGCCTTGTACTTACTTTAATTTTTATTTTTCGGAACTTCATAACTTATGAACGGGCAACTTTGGGCGCGCGCTGTTAGGTGTAGGATTATAGTCAACAAGCTATAGATCAAGGGTCAAGTAGTTTGAAAGCTAAATCTGTCAAGGCTTAGTCAAAATCGACCACTTTATGTTTCATTCCATACAACGAAAATGGAAAATATTTTTTTCCAGCCAAACTATTGGTTTTAGAGAAAAACGTTTAATAATATTTATTCATCAGAATAACATACCCTATCGATAGGTATTTTTTTTAAACAGAAATAAAAATCGCTGATTTTATTCCTTTTAATTTTATTCAAATGTGTTTTTAGCAGTAATTTAAGGTTAATTTACATTATTAACGTATATAATCTTTATATTTTCGTTAAATCTTTAAAGATATTCCAAAAAAAAGTCACTTTGACTTACTTTTTTTAAATTTTCAGAACCTCATAACTTGTGAACGGGCAACTTTGGGCGCGCGCTGATAGCGTAGGATTATAGTCAACAAGCCATAGAACAAGGCTCAAGTAGTTTCAAAGCAAGATCTGTCAAGGCTTAGTCGAAATCGACCACTTTATGTTTCATTCCATACAATGAAAATGGAAAATATTTTTTTCCAGCCAAACTATTGGTTTTAGAGAAAAACTTGTGCAGCATTTATTCATCAGAATATCGTAACCTATCGATAGGTATTTTTTTTTCAAATAGAAATTGTAATAAAAATCGCTATGTCTATAAATCTCAATTTCGATCCATAGTGCGGCGGGGCGCTTCGCTGTAGGTAATTATCGGATGTACCGCGCGGAGTGAGCCAGGCCTGCAGTTGTTATTCTTATTTTATTTTATAATTAATATTTGGAAGGAAACATACCTATACAGGGTGGAATTTTGTAATGCCACCTGGAGGGAAAGTACTCTTAATACTGTAGATAGAAAATTTTACTCAAAGGAAACATTCCTTAATTTAGGAAAAGAAAAAGCGATGGATAGCTTGACAACATTCAGTAACCAAAAACATAAAGCAACATTCTCAATGTAACATCAGAATTTCTTATGAAACAATAGACAAATGTATCTTACACTGTTGATAATTTCGAACCCTCGAAGCTTAATTATCTTGATAATTTCGAACCCTGGTCATGATTATTCTATGTAACAACAACCTATCAATGTCAAGACATTAGCTATTTTAACAATTCGATGTAGTGATAGTTCGATCGATATTGTGTGATCATTCGCTATCGCGACATTCGACGTGGCGTACCATTGATATTGACCGTTCAATGCAGCGTTTCCGATGTTGTGACTTGTTGTTACATTCGATGTAACAATTTTAGATGTCACGTAGGGAATCCCCTATTCGGGCCCACGACGCGGTCGATGTAAACAACAACGCATTCTGGAAAATAATATTTACACAACCAACTTTTTCTTCCTATGAGCTTGCTTAACATTCTCTTCAAAACAAGTTTTTTTATTTTTTTTTATAATTTCATGAAAAAAGTTGGTAATAATATAAATGGAAGCAGGTGAATATAGGATGGAATAAAGATCAAAACATACGTAATTGATCAGTAAGCTGGTGATTGGCATTAATTTATTAGTTACTACAACATTAGTAGGCAATTCAGGGTTTTCAATAATAATATATTAGGGTTAGACGTCTTTTAGAATTATTGCTATTAGGTACCACTCAAGTGTGTGGAGTAGGTAATTCCTTAAGTAGGATTTATCTATCTGCCCAACGTATCCAATCTGGGTGCGCNCACGAGTCGAGCAAGCGAACCCAGAGTCCCGCTCCAGTCATTCAGTCAAGTTCCAGAAACAAATCGGTCCTATTCATAAAATTATTGGTTTAGGTTAGGTTAGAACTGTGACCTTACGTTACCTTCGCGAAGAAAACCTTCTGTACGTAGTACTTATTATTATTATGTGGTATGAGTGAGTACATTAATGATATTATTAATTAAAATTTTCGGAAACATGAGTGTTATGAACATCGCCAGTAGCACTACAAATAGTATAAATGAAAACTTTAGGATGAAAAATTTTAGGAAGAGTGATCATTCGGATTTAAAATCGTTAGGAAGAACAATTTCGGGTAAATAACTTTAGGTGAGCCAATATGGACCCATCCAATCTCACACGTAGGTAGGTAGATTAGCCAGTTAATTCTTTACAAAATATGGAAAGTAGAATACAAAAGTAGGTAGTTAAATAAAATGTAGGTACCTATAGGTAATAACAAGGTAGGTATCCAATGTATTGATTAAAATATTCAGTAAGTACCTAGGTAATCATATTTTGTGAATTTGAAAGAAACTAGGTAGGTAGTATGTAGTCACTCTTAGTGCCTTTTCACACGTTCCGGTTGCCGGCTATCCGGCGCCGGGTACCCGGTGGTGAAGTGTATGGGCATGGTACGTAGCTTTCACATGTTCCGGCGTAATTAATCCGGCATGCCCATACATTCACGACCGGGTACCCGGCGCCGGATAGCCGGCAACCGGAACGTGTGAAAAGGCACTTACTGTGCTTTAACGATGAGGTAGGTATGAAGTTATCTAATTTAATAAATTATAAACTTTACAGCTACAATATGAATTTGCAATGAAATGTTTATTTTTAGACAAGTCCGTTCGTTATAAAGCGAATAATTATTTGACTCCCGCTGCATTGCAACACGCTGTCATTGACGTGCCGGCCTACTCGATTCGACGGTTGCTTGCGCGAGGCTCGCGGCGAGTCTGTTTTTTATCAATAGCGGATAGCGCTTTGTTTGTTACTACCGAAATGTACAACGCAAAACGCCAACGATCCTGTCTAAAAATAGGTCCTATTTACATAGTAAAAAAAAATATGGTAAGTAATACATACCTACTGAGCATTGAACTGTGTATACAACTGCTTAATTACCTACTACCCAGTGGGTTAATTAACCAACCACCAAAATATTAATGAAATTGAAGCATTGTTGGCTAGGTTGAAGAGTATAAATACTGAAAAAAATAAATAAATAAACAAATGTGTTACCGTTTAAAGTGCTCCCTTATTCGATCTTCACGAATGTTATCGGGTAAATTGCCAACCCACAGGTGCCGAGTCTCTCTAACCATCTTGCTTCGAGCTCCACATTAGGAATCATTACCCGTTCGCGTCACTACGTGGCAAAAAACAATTTTGCACACAACGGTGCTTTACACATTTTGATTTATCGCACTAGTAAACCATAGACATTGTTTCAAACACTCAAGTTACACTTTGTTAGAAAAACAACACTATCTTTCACTTCACGACATTCGATAATCTCATCACAAAATCCACTTCACTATAAACACACCACGTAATAGACGCGAGCGTACTCGTCGCAGCTCTCGAATTGACAGTGAAGCCAGCTTAGACGCGAGTTTGCCGATAAGCTCCGCCTTCTGACCGCTGCCGCGCAAAGTGGAGTGGGTGGCCAGCAACGGTGAAAATGAAATCACCACCATTGTAATTTCACAACAATGTTATTGGTGAGGACAATGACAATTTTTAAGTAAAAAACTATCAATTTAAACAAAATAGCTGAATACACAGAAATAATATTTTCAACTGCACTATATTTTTTTTGTATTAGTTGGTTTATGCAGTATTTTCTATTGGAGTGATAATACTCAATAAAGTTTTTATAATATACAAAAAAACGAATAAAAATTCATTTAACTATTTATTTAAAATAATTAATATGTATGATGAAAATAAATAAAACCACCGAGAAATAACGGCAGATTACCTACTGAATTAGAGGAGCGCTGGCCAGCTTACCCTATGTTATTACTGTCTCTTTCTTTTCAAAGTGTTTCCATTTCACTCCAACACGGGCGCGAGTCAGTAGGTGTTGCAGCTAAGAAAAACTACCAATAAATTAGGGAATATAATATTTCATAACATACTTACGTTTAGGTGTATTTTTCTACAGAATAAGATAAATGCTGCGTCATCTACAAAAATTAACTTACAATAATATTAGGGTCATTCCACAAAAATATGTCAACTCTTAGTC